TTCTTTTGAAGGCAGTAGCAAACAAAACTGGGATGATGGAAATAGCTTATTCCTTCTGATAGTCCTCATACATATTGCTGTGACTAAAATATATTTTTTATTAAAAGGGCTTTATGGTTTCTAAAAAAAAAAAACTCAAACAGCATATGTGAATGTACACATGCACACACACACACAGAAAAAGAGAGACACAGAGAGATAAAGAGGTAGCACCTAAGGCAGAGAATTACCAATAGTTTGAAACCCTTCTTGTCTCTCCCTGATCCTATCTATCCCTTCTCTACTCCAGAAGTAAGAACTATTCCAAATTTTGAGTTTATCATTTCCTTGATGTTCTTCATCACTTTGTTATTAATAAGATTGTCTGTAGATATACATTGTTTTGTTTTGCATGTTTTTGAAATTGGTGCAATTGAAACTCAGCTCTATTTTCCTTCATAGTACTTCTCATCACTTAACACATTTATTTTCTTATCTGTTTATCATCTGGCTCCCTCTCCCCTATAACTCCTTGAAAACAATTTTTAAAAAAGAATTATTTCCTTTATTTATCATTATTGCTATTTCTTTTTAATTTGATTAGAGCGAGACAGAGAGAGAAAAAGAGAGAAAGTAAGCTGACAGGTCTGAGACTTGAACCGTGGTCAGCCATGTGGGAATACAACACCTTTAACCACCACACCACCTGCCCTCCCCAAAAACATTTTTATTTTTTTTTAAGAGAGCTTTATTGGAGGGCACTTTGCCAGAGAGACAGAGAAAGACAGAGACAGAAAGTGAGAAATCACCCCCCGAGGGGATGGCTATGCTGCAGTACCTTCCCTTCCAATCTCCTCTCAGGATCTCAGGCATGTATGCACACTTGCCTAGCATGAGTGTTTTTTTGTTCTGTTTTGTTTTTGGTGGGGAGAGGTTTTTGGTATAGGGCATGTGCGTTTGCCAGAAAAACAGAGAGAGACAGAAAGGGAGAAATCACCTCCCAGGGGGGATGGCCACACCGCAATCCCTTCTCCTCCATTCTCCTCTCGGGATCTTGGGCACGCATGCACATGTGCCCAGTGTGAGTTTAAGCCACCTGGGCCCAGGACTTGAACCATGGCCAACTATGTGGGGGTCCAGCGACATAACCATTATGCCATCTGCTGGTCCGTAAAACAATTTTTTAAATGGCTTATTTTTTACTCACTTCTGTGCCTCCAAATCCAAGAGTGTTTGGCACATAGAAGGTGCACAATAAACGTGTTAAATAAAGTAATGAGAAACTTTGCTCTCTAGGTGATCGGTGTGATTCACGTTGTTTGTGAAAAGAAAACATTGTCCTGCTAAGGGTTCGACTTTGTCAACAAAACTTAGAAGAGGGGGCTGGGTGGTAATGCAATGGTAATGAAACTGGATCCACAAGGGAAGGGTTCTGCAATTGGATTCCAGGATCCCAAAGTATTTCAGGTGCTCCTGTGCCTGTGATCTGAGTTGCCTGAGATTGGGAGTGAATTATGGTGTGTTGAGAGTGTCTTTCTTTCACAAAATAAATAAACTTAAACAAAAAAGGCAGAAAGTTTTGAGGTAAAATTATAGCTTGAAAAAAAACCCCAAAAAACAAAAACATAGTCTGCCTGAAGCATCAGCACCAGTACAAGGAAGCTTAGACTACAGTCTGTCTCTGCCACTTAGCCGCTGTGTGCCTGTGAATGACGTTTCTCTCTGCATTTTCTCATCTGACAGTTCGTTCTCATCTAACGAACACTATTACAGTGTTGTTAATGAAAGAGTTAAGACTTATGGATGAAAATACTCTGAAGAATAACTATGAAGTGGCATCACTCTCTAAGGCCAAGAAAGGCTTTGCAAATTAAACATCTTCAAAAAACTTTGTCTAGGGACCAGCAGTTAGCATAATGGCTATGTCGCTGAACTCTCACATAGCCAAACTCACGCCAGGCGCATGTGCGTGTGTGCCCAAGATCCTGAGAGGAGAATGGAGAAGAAGGGATTGCGGCGTGGCCATCCCCCCTGGGGAGTGATTTCTCACTTTCTCTCTGTCTCTCTCTGTCTTTCTGGCAAGCTCATGCACCCTATAGCAAAAAACAAAACAAAACAAAACAAAAAACCTTTGTCTACATCCTCCTTTAATTTAAATTTTAAATTATAAATATATCTCACTTTTTGTTTTGTTTTGCTTGTTTTAATTTTTTTGCTATAGTGTGCATGTGTTTTCCAGGAAAAGAGAGAAAAAGTGAGAAAGCATCTTTTAGGGGGGCATGGTCACACCTAAATCAGGATTTGGGCACATACATGCACACACCTGGTGTGATTTTCAATTACCGGGTCTGGGACACCAATTGCACAGCTGGCCAAGTGGGGTCTAGTGCCTTAACCTCCATGCCACTCTCCTGCCCTCAAGTTTCTATACTTTTAAAAAATTTGCCAAAGGATGTGTACACTCACCAAAGAAAAGGAGAGAGAGAGAGAAAGGAAGAAAAAGCAACAACTCCCATTGGGCATGGTTCATTGCTATTCCTTTTCCTCTATTTCTCCCTCTTTTGGGGATTTTCAACATGCACGTTTATGCACTAAATGTGTTTTTATGCCAACTGCTGGTCCCACCACACTAAGTGTATTTTCGAAACTGCCAGGATCAGGACTCAAATTGCCTGGTTGGTCATGCGGGATGACTCCCTTAACTATCAGGTCATGGGCTAGGCCAAATATACCTCATTTTAAAAAAGACATTCACCTTGGGGCCGGCAAGTGGCATGGTGGTTAAAGGCACTGGACTCCCACATGGCCAACCATGGTTCAAGTCTTGGACCTGGTGGCTTGCTTTCTCACTTCCTCTCTCTCTGTCTCTCTCTGATCAAAACTGGAAAATAATAATGATAATAATAATAAATAAAGTTAAATAAAATAATTCTTAAAAAAAAAGACATTCACCTTTTCTAACTAGCTCTTTTTCCTAAAGCAACAGTACTTTGTTCAGTTTTGAGATATAATTCATAAGCCATAAAATTCACCATTTCAAATTGTACAGTTCAAAGGTTTTTAGTATATTCACAAGGACATGCAACCAATCACTACTATATAATGCTAGGACATTTGCATTGTACCCAAAATGAAACTCTAACCCATTAGCAATCTCTCCCCATTTCCTCTTCTCTGCTCAACCCACGGCAACCACTAGTCTGTTTCTGTCTTTATGGATTTGCCTATTCTAGATGTTTTATGTAAATAGAACCATGCAATATGTAGCCTTGTGTCTAGGCTCCTTTCATTTAGTGTGTTTTCAAGGTCCATTCATGTTGCAGCATGTGTCGGTATTTTAATGCTTTTTTCTTTTTCTTTTTTTTTTTTTTTTTAGAGGTTTTTGCTATAGGGCACGTGCGCTCGCCAGACAGACGGAGACAGAGAGACAGAGAGCGAGAAATCACCCCCCAGGGGGGATGGCCACGCTGCAATCCCTTCTCCGTTCTCCTCTCAGGATCTTGAGCACGCACGCACATGCATCTGGCGTGAGTTTTAAGCCACCGGGTCCAGGATGCGAACCACAGTCAACTACGTGGAAGTCCAGCGACATAGCCATTACACTAACTGCTGGTCCCAGTATTTTAATCCTTTTTATGGCCAAATAATATTCCATTGCATGGTTATACCACATTTTTATTTAATCATTCACCAATAGATAGATATTTGGGTTATCTCCAACTTTTTCACTATTATGAATGATGCTGCTATGAACATTCATGTACAAGTTTTTGTGTGGACATGTGCTTTTAGTTCTCTTGGGTATATACCTAGAAGTGGAACTCTGCTCAACTTTTTGTTGAGGATGAGGAACTACCAAACCATTTACATAGTGGTTGTAGCACTTAACATTCCCATGAATAATGTATATGGGTACAATTTCTCTACATTCTGTCAGCAAGTACATTTTTTAATAATTATTTTATTGGGACCAGCAGTTGGCATAATGACTATGTTGCTGGACTCCCATGTAGTCATCCGTGGCTCGAGTCCCGGACCCGGTGGCTTAAACTCACGCTGGGTGCGTGTGCGTGCGTGCGCAAGATCCAGAGAGGAGAGTGGAGAAGGGATTGCGTGTAGCCATCCCCCCTGAGTGGTGATTTCTCACTTTCTGTCTCTCCTTGTGTCTTTCTGGTGAGTACATGAACCCTATAGCAAAAACCTCTAAAAAACTATCATTTTATTTAACTTTATTTATTTACTTATTTTAACTAGACCAGAGAAGGAGGGAGAGAGAGAGAGAGAGAAAGTGAGAAAGCAAGTTATCGGGGCCAGGACTCAAACTACTGTGGACCATCCGGCAGTTCAGCGCCCTTAACCACGACGCCATCTGCCGGCGCCAAGTATTGTTTTATATACAGGGTAATTTTTCACTTTACCTCACCAACACTTACTCAGCCACAATTAGTATCATGCAGCTTTAGAAACAATTTAAGCTAAAACAAAAACGTCCTTTTTTTATTAATATTATACACATTTTGTAATGCTCATGGATATAACTCAAAAGTAGTGTTTCTAATTTTTCCTGGCAGAAAATAGCTGCTAGTCAAGGGCTCACATTATCAGAGTTCAACACCAAACCCTCTGGAATTCAAAACAACTTAGGGAATCAATCCCTATTTTAAACAGAAAACTGCCGTGAGTAGGCATAAGAGCAGCATTTGAATAGCTTTTCACAAGCATTTCACATTATTTCATTTTTGCCTCTTCCTTCAGGTTAAAGCCTGAAATTCAAGAACAAGACTGGCTTGGAACACCCCAGCAGGTTGTCTAGCTCAGGTAGAACGGTGGGTTTCGCCCGCGCGCAGGCGCACACGCACAACTCCGCCTCCCCTCGGGTCCATCCCTTTTTTCCTCCTCCTGGGACGCTAATGGAGAGGAAGACGGACAATGTAGTGGTGTTCGACCAATCCTCGCGCGATTTCGGGAACTGCGTTCCGCACTGGCTAATTAAGTCTGATGACGTAGTCAGGTTCCAATCCGTATGTCAGGGGCGGGGCTAAAGCTTGGCGGGGCCGGGCGGAGAGACGACGGCGCTGAGTGGAAGCACGTGACCAAGGCCTGAAGTAGGAAGGTACGGGTCTGGTCCGGAGCTCCCCCAGTACCTAAGGCTGCGATGGTGAGTGAGGACTCTTGCGCCGGAGCGTCTGCTGGGGTTCCACGTCCCTATACCGCAATCTCTCTGGTTGCCCGTTCCTGGGCTTGTACTCCACCCTCAGCCCCAATCCGCCCCAGGACGGGGAGGGAACGGACATAGGAAGGGCGGCGATGTAGAGGGCTGACGAAGGATCGGTGGGAGGCTGATCTGGGGCTGAAGAGTGGTCTGCAGAGCAAGCGCGGTTTCCGAGGGGTCTGGGGTGGTTGTAGGGGTAGTAGGGCTGCGAAGACCTCCCAAGGTAGCGAAGGTGGGGTGTGGAAGGCCACAAGAGTCTGCCGGAGGGGAGGGCGAGAGTGAGGACAGATGGAGCCTCGGGAAGATCAGTGCTGAAGGCCACGTAGAGGGAAGCCTGGGCGTACGGAGGCACCGTGAAGAGTTGGGTTTGCAGGTTAAGGGTCTCGAGAGCCATCCCCCTAGCGTGCTTCTTATTCCTTGCATCTTTACCCACTAGACTTCTACATTGACCCAGGGGCTGGAGCGAATCCCAGATCAGCTTGGCTACCTGGTGCTGAGTGAAGGTGCAGTGCTGGCGGTGCGTTCTGGGAAAGGGAGGGGTCTTTTTAGGACACATGACATATAACCCCTTCTAAGACTACCCATTCTTATTTTCACTCTCAGCCTTTACCTAATAACCTGCCTGGCATCTGGCATATACAATAATAAGCTTTCAATAATCTCTGGAATCTTAGTCTTCCAACTGTTATGAGGTAAAAGAGGTTTACTGACTTTACAGAAGTCACACAACTAGTTACAGGTTTATTGATAAGTGATATGACTATAGTTTTTCTCAAGTATGACTCGTTAATTTTTCTTTTTTAACCATGGTAGAGACGTGTGCATGAAAGAGACACTCCACCGTTCTTACTACTCCACTGTCCCCTTTCCCCAGCCCTCCAGGACCTTAGGATCTTGGGCGCCCAGCATGTTTTCTGGCCTTCCTGGGCTATGAGCCTACAGACTGCCATGTGGCTTCCAGCACTGCAGTCCAGTACGCTATGGACTGTACCGCCTAGGCTGGGCTTTTATACAGTATTTCTTACAGAGACTTTCATGTGTTAGTTCTCTAGACATTTTTGATCTAGAGAGACTAGGCTTAAGGTTAAAGACTGAAAGCAGTGCAAATGGTTAAGACGACTGAAGCAGTCCAGAATATGATTTCAACCCTTTGCGTTATAACTTGTGTTATGGCAAGGAAACTTTCTGGGCAGTAGAAATGAAGCTGAGTTTAAAGGATGGATGGTTGTGTGAATAGGTGGAAAAGGAGTATTCAGGAATGCATCACTAGGAAGTGGATGTATTTGCAGGAGAGTGACACTAACCTGTCTGAATTGGCAGTGGGTTTGTGGCGAAAAGATTTGGAAGGGTTTGGAGGAAGAAGATAGTGTGGTAAGGAAAGGATCTGATTATGGAGGACTTCTAAGGCCATGTTAACACATTTGGACTTAATCTTGAGGTTAATAGGACCTGTGAAGGTTTTTTTGAACAGAAATGACCCACTGAAGTAATTGAGCAAGATTATCCTGTTAGTGGTGTGAGAGTGGGCTGCAAGAAGAGTACAAACTAGGCTGGTAGCAATGAGAAGGACCAGAAAAAATTGCAGGAGGAATCAGTGTATTTGGGGATAGCTATATTTTTTTTCTCTCTCTTTGGAGAGGTTTTTTGTTTTGTTTTGTTTTGTTTTGCTGTGCTGTAGGTACGTGCACTCGCCAGAAAGACAGAGACAGAGAGACAGAAAGTGAGAAATCACCCCCCAGGGGGGATGGCCAAGCCACAATCCGTTCTCCTCCATTCTCCTCTCAGGATCTTGGGCACACACGCACACGTGCCCGGCGTGAGTTTAAGCCACTGGATCCGGGACTCAAACTGTGATCGACTACATGGGAGTTCAGCGACATAGCCATTATGCTAACTGCCGGTCCTGGGGATAACTATATTTTAGTAATTTTAGAGGAGATTCTTTTTCATCTAGTAAAACTATGAACTCAAAAGCCTAAAAGGATAATGGTACCTTAATTAAAAGAGAATTTTTCTTGAGAGAGGTTTTTGTTATAGAGTGCATTAGCTCTCCAGAGACACAGACAGATAGAAAGTGAGAAATCACCCCCCAGGAGGGATGGCCACTCCACAGTCCCTTCTCCTCCATTCTCGAGGCTCTTGGAATTTTGGGCAGGCACACACACACACTTAACATGAGTTTTAAGCCACTGGGTCCTGAACTTGATCCACAGTTGCCCATGTGGGAGTCCAGCAACGTAACCATTACGCCATCTGCTGGTCCCAATTAAAAGGGAACTAAGACATAAATTGGGGAGGGGGATGAGAAGATGGCATAATGGTTACGTTGCTGGACTCTCATAGTTCGACTGCAGTTTGAATCCTGGACCAGCAACTTAAAACTCAAATCGGGTGCATGTGTGTTCATGCCCAAGATCCTGAGAGGAGAATGGAGGAGAAGGGATTGTGGCATGGCCATCACCCCAGGGGTGGTGATTCCTCGCTTTCTGTTTCTTGGGAGCGTACACGCCCGATAGCTAAAATCTCTTAAAAAAAGAAACATAAATTGGGGAGGAAGGTAGATAAATTTCATTGATCCAACCTTAGACATTGAATTTGTAGGATAATAACAGTAATTATATATTGTTAGGAGTTCTAAACATTTCCCCAACATCGTCTCATAACTCTTACAAGTCAGGTCCATAATATAGCTATTGTTTCCAATTTACAGTGAGGAAACTGAGATTCAGAATGTCTGAGAGAGTAAAGGGCACTGAGCTTAACCTATTGGGATGTTCTAGTAGGAGGAGGTGGGATGAGGAAGTTGAGACAGTCACAGGAAAAGAGGACGCCCAGGCCAATGTCACGTCACTTACCCAAGAGACCCTGAAAGGGGAAAGATTCAAAGATACTGGGTCATCCAGAAAGTCATGATGCATTTTTGCATAGAAAGACACAGAAAATTACGTCCTGACTTTACGCCACCTAATAGATATCTTGTTTCAGGGTCTGTAGTCAGGGTGGCAAGTAGAAAGATTAGAGAAGAGAAGGAATCTTTTTTTTTTTTTTTTTAAGAGACATTTTTGCTACAGGGCATGTGTGCTTGCCAGAAAGACAGGGAGAGACAAAAAGTGAGAGATCACCTCCCAGAGGAAATGGACTCACCGCAGTCCCTTCTCCATTCTCCTCTCTGGATCTTGGGAATGTATGTGCATATGTCTGGCCTAAGTTTTAAGCTTCTGGGTCCGGGACTTGAACCAGCTCGACTAAGTGGGAGTCCAGTGATGTAGCCATTACACCATCTGCTGGTCCCAAGAAGGAAGCTTTAACAAGTAGGTGGTGGGCAGGCATTGGTTTTGAGAATGGTTGTATCAAATAGGTGGGGACAAGGTGAGGAATCCAGTTTTGAGGAGTTAGGAAAGAATAGTAAAGAAATGGATGAGTCGCTGCCCATGTGGAGGCAGGATGGTATGAGGAGGGTGACAACATCATGGGGAGGTTTGGAGTATTGGAAAGTGGAAAGAGACATTACAAGTGAGAGCTAAAGGGACTGTGCCTGGAATTCCGTCCCAATTCTGTTTCCCAATTTCTGCCCTCTTCCCTCTTCCATCTACATGCAGTCATCTGGGGATCTTGAGAATGACGAGCAGGCAGCCAGTGCCATCTCCGAGCTGGTCAGCACGGCTTGCGGTTTCCGGCTGCACCAAGGCATGAATGTACCCTTCAAGCGCCTGTCCGGTGAGCCCAGCCCCTGCCCTTGCCCCTCGGGGGAGGGACAGGTACTTCCAAAGGCTTTTTTTTTTTCAGGGAAAAAACACCCCATCTCCTTCTTACCACCTCTTTTACCAATCTCCTGGGGTCCCTGATCTGGCCACTTTCTTTATTCTGGAATTTCCCGTGTCAGAATTGGGAATGACAAAGCAAGAAAATGAAGGGGATTTATCAGAGGCTTCTCTTCCTCAAAGTTCCGTGCCTTGAACAATAGAATTTCATGGATATTTGATCCCAGCTAATTTGTGTGTGACCCTGTTAACCGTGCTCCCTTCCCTCTCCCGGGGCGGGGGAAGGTGTGTCTCTCCTCCAGTGGTCTTTGGAGAACACACACTGCTGGTGACCGTGTCAGGACAGAGGGTGTTTGTGGTGAAGAGGCAGAACCGAGGCCGGGAGCCCATCGATGTCTGAACCTACCAGAGGGCAAGGGTCTGAGAAGTGGATGGGGCCACAGGCCTCTGTGATGAGGAAGGCACGAATGGCCTCCACCTCTTCTTGGCTTGCCGTTAGAGGTCTTCTACGTACCCACCTCCCCGATCTCCATCTGGAAGGACAGAGGCTTGGGGACTTTGCACTGTGTTAAGGAGAACAAGGGCAAAGAGACTTCCCTCTCCCTTTCCTTCCACCTAATAAACGTGAGTCTGATGTTCCTGGGCCTGGGGATGTGTATATGTGGGAGCGTGGGGCTGTGAGGAGGGTGTTATACCCCATGTCTCATCTTCCTCCTTCTAGGGAAAAAGTCATGTACTTCAGCCTGGCGTGAGTGTGCACTGTAAAACTGGGAATGAGAAGAAAGAGATGGTAGGATGCTGAGGGCAGCTACCAATATTTACAGTCATGTTGGAGGGAATCATCCTGATTCTCAGCCCCTGCAGTCTCTGTTCCTTCCATCAACACAAACAACAGTCATTCCTCTCCTGCCTGAACAGGCATTTAATAGTCTCATTTCAGTTGGAAGCAGTAGTCGGAGAATAAGTTACAGGAACAGACCAAAAAAAAAAAAAAAAAACCGAACCAAAAAAACAACTTAAAGTGCGTCAGACTGCAAACGTAAACATGAGGGGCAGAAGGAGGCCACCTAGCTATCTCCTTATCAGGAAGGTCATTGTCGGTCTGGTTGCCACCACCACCCTTCTAGTCTCAGCCCTGTGGGTGGATGGGTGGGTGGGTGGGAATGTCAGAGGCAGGAAAGGACTTAACAGGAATGAGGGGGGAGGGGGCAAGGGAGCTCTTGGAGGCCTTGCCCTGGCCTAGGGGTGGGGCCAGCCCCCCCTTAGAAACTCAGGTAAATACTGTTGGTTTAGCGCTATAGCCGGACCCGCCCATTTCACAGCTTCTTCCCTTGTCCCTCAGCAGACACAGACAGGTGGCTCTGTCAGGCCTCTCCATCCATGGTGGGAGGCCTCCCAGGGGAGGCACAGCCTGGGAGTGAGAACCCCCTCAGGGGGCTTTCAGTTTCTGGAGTGTAAGAGGGAGCAGAGCGGGCATGGTGCTACTTGACGGGCTCCACCACCAGGACCTTGCACTCACGCTTGGCAATCTTGTCCAGAGAAAGCACAGCCTTGTCCGGGGGCAGGTAGAGGGGGCGGCCAACAGGAGAAGCCACTGGGGGCGTGATGGCCCTTCGTTCCATCACACTGCCAGACCTGGGAGAAGGCAGGGGCTATGGGCTCTGATAAGATCCAACACCCCTCCCTGGTTCCAGCCGGTACCCAGTCCAGAGCCCTGCCTCCCCGGTCCGTACCTCATGAGGTGGCTGCGGGAAGGCTGTTGGTGGGAGAAGGACTGAGAGCGGCCCAGACTGGCCTGATGCCTCTCCACCAAGTCCCGGACAGCAGGACTACTGGGACTGCTCTTGCGAGAGAGGGGCCGGGCCTCGGGCGGTGGGTGAGACACGCTGGCTGTGAACTGCAGCTTCAGTTTCATGTGCTGGCTCAGCTGGGTCAGGAAGATGCAGATCAGCCTTCCAGCTCAGCCCCCAGGGCCCAGACTTTTCAGGTGATTTCCCCCACTTGACAGACCAATGGTGGATCTCAATTCTACTTCCCCCCTGCCCAGTTTTTTAGTGCCACCCATTATATTTCATCCACAGACACTTAGGACTCTGACTTCCCCATCCAGCATTCGGCAGCACCCAGCCCACCTCGAAGAGCCCTGTCCTCAGAGCTTGGAAGGCCACACTGAAAGTGAGCGCACTGCCTTTCCGGGAAAAGCCGAGATTGTTGAGGGGTGTGTGGCACACGATGGAGTCCAGGGCTGCCTGCATGGCCCGGCGCTCCTCCTCACACAGCTGCTTTCCTGGGGACAGAAACAAGGACCAGCACACACTTTACCTCATTCCTCAGTTCCCAGAGGGCCTTCACGAGCACTGTCATATTTGATCCTCAAGCTATTCTGTGGCGTACACTGAGTAAATGTTACCTTTTGCCTGATGTTATAGATAACGAGAGTTGATACTGTGGGCTGATGCCTGTTTTAACTTCATGTATATGAGCCCATCCATCTGCCTAACAACCTAGTGGGTATTCTAGTTTAGAGATGAGGCCTCGAAGGCCAGAGAACGCAGAGAGGTTCAGTAACTTATTCAAAGTCACACATTAGTAAATGAGAGGGGTAGCACTCACACCAGAGAGCACAACTCCAGCATCTATCCTTTTTTCTTTTCTTTAGGTTTTTACAATAAGGTGTGTGTGCTTGCCAGAAAGAGACAGGAAAAATGAAAAATCATCCCACTGTGGGGGATGTCCACCATGCAGTCCCTTCTCCACCATTCTCCTTTGGGGATTTTGGGCACATATGCACATGCCAGTGTGTTTCTCAAGCTACTGGGTTCAGAGACTAGAACTGCCAAGTTAGCTATGTGGGATCCAGCCACCATGCCACCTGCTGGTCCCTAGCGTCTAACCTCTTAAAGTCAATCTGCTCCATTGCCTCTCTCAGCTCTCTATTGGTGACACTGTGGAGACCACTCAGGCACAGAGCCAAAACTGCCGGCCACAAGTCACCCACTGTGGTGGTGCTGATACCAGGTTTGTGTTTTCACGGCTCTACCTCCACGACGTCTCCTTTCCCATCCCTGCCCTCAAGACAACGTGGCACAGCCTTGTAGCCAACCTACCAGCCTGCGCGTGCTCCGGGGTCCACACGAGCCTCACAGCAAGGAAGTCTTGGAGATTGTTGAGCAGTGTGTAGGTGACAGTGAAACGCTCATAGGTTCGAACAGGGGACTCACAAGAAGCAGTCATCACAAAGCACGGACGGTCTAGGCGGACACTAGGCAGGCTAAGAGCAGTGAGGGAGGGAAGCTGGGTGTGTGTTTCAGACAGCAGAGCGGAACCAAATGGTGCCTGGCAGGGGTTCCCATACTCACCGGTAGTGGGTATAGATGCTCTGGGTAAAGGGCAGCTTTGGGGTGGACCACTGAACCACAGCAATCAGGGGAACTTCTAGGCCCTGCAGAAGGGACAAAGGGAGACTTCATATGATGAGAGTGCCCTTCCATCTTTAGTCAACCCCCTGGTCTTTCCTTCCCAGTGTCTTGTCTTACTGTTTTCTCTTGAACACACCAGGCCCTTATGCTCACCTCTTTGGCTCCTGGAGGAGGCTGCTCACCCCCCCTCAGCTGGAACAGGAAGTTGTGTTCCTCCAGGGCACTAAGTGGGCAGGGGAAGCAGCCAGAGGTACCAGGGAGCCGGCAGAAGGAGCCCATGGAGACTTCTCCAGACTGGTGACTAGTTCAGGGGAGAGGACAAGGCCTGGTCGTCTTATGACCAGGTCTCAGGCACCGCTCACATCCCTGTTCCCATCATTTCACAGCCCTGCCCCTCCCTAGAATCTCACCAGACGTTGTCCACCAGCAGCACAGAGCCGTCGGGCATGACAGGTAGATAACTGGCATTGAAGTTGGGGAGTATTCGGATATCCCAGATGGAGATTTCCTCCTGGGAAGAACTGTTCAGCACTGTGGGAGATGCCAGCTCAGCTCAGAGTAGCTGGATCCCTCAGGCCCCACCTTGACCCAGAAAAACCCCACCAGCCTGCCCATAGTAACAGTCATCCAATGACTTCCCTTGCTGCTACCAAGACAAGCTAGCAGATCTGCTCACCCTTGAGCACGGTCAAGTGTTTTCCAGCCACAGTGAACTGCCGGCATTTCAGAACTGGAGGGGGCAGCAGAGTCAGCAAGGTGCTCACTATAAGGGAAGCAGGAATTGAAGGTCTGGGTGTAGCCCTCACCTCCAACCCACAGTTCCATTCGTCGTCTTTTCCCTCCATCAGGCACTATGCAATATCACATCCCCACCACACCACCCCACAAGACTTATCTCCCCAACCCCAGCCTCTATAGCCTTTCCCTTCGGCACCATCCTCCCCACCTTGGGCTTTGAAAGCACTCTGCTCGCCTCGGAAGGTCTCCCCAGGAGATCGGGTCTGTAGCAAGCGCAGGTAGCCTTGATCTCTGACCTCTGGTGCCTCAGCCTCCCTCTTCCACACAGTCACTACAATCTGAGCACAGAACACAGTACCGCGGTCAGGTGAAACAGACTGTCAAACCTTAAAAAGGTGTCTGAAATAGGGTGATAGCTCCACCCCTTGCTGACCTTACCTTGGCCTTAGGTGTCCCTGGGGGCAGCCTGTCCAGTGAAACGGTGAGTGGGAAGATGACCTCATCTGTGGACACAATGGGTTCCTCCACAGGCAGCTGGGTTAGGATACAGGCGGAAAGGTCAGAAGAGAGGGGCAGCCTGCAGCAGTTCCTTTCTTTTAAGATCTTGGGTTCCCTGATCCTTTCTGCCCTTCCCTCGCTTCAGTCATTTGCCTCCTGCCCTAGGCCCCCAGGGCGTCCATCTCCCATGTTCTTTGGCGCCCAGAAGACCACCCCTCCACCCTGTGCCATGTTACCCCATGCTCCTTACCGTGGTCGCTCCCCCTGAGGTAGCAGGGCCCGGGCCGTGAGTGAGAAGGGGGCTGCAGCCTCGGAACAACCTCCCGCCCCCTGGATCGCCTCCCCCTGGGGGTTCGGGATCCTGGTCACCGGTGCCACCGCCCCCCGGTACCCCGCCTCCAGCGCTGACCGAGGCCAAGGCGGCGAGAGCAGTCGCCAGTTCTGCCCAGGCCCCTCGTGAGCCCAAGCTCGGGCCACCCCCGGCGCTGGCCCCTGCGCCGCCCCTGCAGCGCAGCACCAGCAGGAAGCGGACAGTCTCCCCCAGGTAGAGATGGTTGCGGCGGGGGGGGGGCCGCGCCCGGGCCGCGACCG